CTTGTAGCCTGTGAGAAAGACCAGATCAGGTGATGGAGAGCCATATGAGTGAAAGGTGATTCAGAGCGCGCAGTACTCAGGGAGAAGGGCACAACTGCCACTGGCAGCAAAATGCATTTTTTTTGTTGTTGTGTGCATTACGGTCACACAAAGGGGATGCCGCTGTAAAATTCTAGGCATTATCAAGTGCTTGTCAAATTGTGAATGAGTGACTAATGTAGTGTGTACAGCCTGCGCAAAAAACAAAGCAGAGCTCATGCCTTTCAAGCAACTTTTTTCAAATCATCATTAGAGTCCCATCATGCAGCCTTACAAATACAGAAAAAATCATAACATATAGCCCAACATTTGTAGATCAACTAAAGTTACATTAATAACTCTAAATTAAGCATATAGGAATACCTATTTCTTTGTTAACCACTCAACACAGAATAGCCGCATGTGCGCACTCCCTCAAATCGTTTAGAGAAAATATCCTTTCTATTTTATTCAGCTATGTTCAATTGTATTCTTCATACTATAAAATAATGCCACGGAATTCTAAGAAAATCTTGTCTGGTAAATGAACTAGTGTAGCCCACAGCTATTTGGCATAGCCAGATCAGGACCTAACATGCTATTCTGTTCTTCTGAAATAGACTAAATTTTCTTCATATCATGCTTCTTTAGACCTGTCTAAAATAAATAATGGATTTATTGTGAAGGTGTAGGCTATATTACATGGATATATTAGACTTTTTTAAATGCAGATGTGCCAAGGGTCTGCATCAGTGGCTTGTAGGCTATGTGTGGAAGCCAGGAGATGCTAAATGTGTTTATGTTAATTAACGGCCAATTACCGTGAGACCAACAGTTATTTGCTTGACAATCACTGGCTGATGACATTTCGTGACCGCCACAGCCCTAGGCACCACCAACTGAACAACGATAATCTGTTTGTGCTGGCCAACCAAGAGGTATTTTGTATTTTATTAGGATTTCCATTGGCTGTTGTGAAAACAGTAGCTACTCTTCCTGGGGTCCACACAAAACATGAAACATGACATAATACAGAACATTAATAGACAAGAACAGTTCAAGGACAGAACTACATACATTTAAAACGTCACACATAGCCTACATATCAATACATACACACAAAATATCTAGGTCAAATAGGGGAGAGGCATTGTGCCATGAGGTGTTGCTTTATCTGTTTTTTTAAACCAGGTTTGCTGTTCACTTGAGCAATCTGTGATGGAATAGAGTTCTATGCAATCATGGCTCTATATAATACTTACGTTTTCTTGAATTTGTTCTGTATTTGGGGACTGTGAAAGACTGGTGGCAGTCTGGTGACTGGTGGCATATCTGGTTGTCACGTTCGTTGAATGACGGGTCAGACCAAGGCGCAGCGTGATATGCGTACATGTTTATTCAACTTAATAAACACACGACAAAACAATAAACGAAACGAAACGTGAAGTCCTAAGGTAGACACACAACAAACCTTAACCGGAACAAGATCCCACAACTAGACAGTGCCAATAGGCTGCCTAAGTATGATCCCCAATCAGAGACAACGAGCGACAGCTGCCTCTGATTGGGAACCACACCGGCCAACGTAGAACTATACATACTAGACAAGCCACATAGAAAAAGCACAACAAGGAATATACACACCCTGACTCAACATATAAGCGTCCCCTGAGTCAGGGCGTGACAGTACCCCCCCCCAAAGGTGCGGACTCCGACCGCACAACATAAACATAACAGGGTAGGGGCCGTGTGGGCATTCCGCCTCGGAGGCGGATCCGGCTCGGGGCGTGACGACCTCTCACTCTCCGCCTCCCTGTTGCGCCCCTGGTCTGGTCTGGACCTCGGCGCGCTGCTTCCCCTCTCCTTCCTCCCACGATACGTCAGGCCCTGTCTGGACCCTGGTGTGGGAGACCCCGAACCTGGAGAGGGGCTGACGTCATGGTCTGGACTGGAGCCGCTGACCGGAGCTGGTCTGGGCACCGATGGAGCGGACTGCTCTTGCTCCGGAGTGGAGCCGCTGACCGGAGCTGGATCAGGCACCGGTGGAGCGGACTGCTCTGGCTCCGGAGTGGAGCCGCTGACCGGAGCTGGACTGGACCCCGGTGGAGCGGACTGCTCTGGCTCTGGAGTGGCGCAGCTGACCGGTGCCGGACCAGGCACCAGTGGAACGGGCACGGGCCTGACTAGGAACACGCACCACTGGCTTGGTGCGAGGGTCAGGAACGGGCCGGGTCGGACTGGCGACGCGCACCACTGGCTTTGTGCGAGGAGCAGGAACAGGCCAGGCCGGGCTGGCGACGTGCACCACTGGCTTGGTGCGAGGAGCAGGAACAGGCCGGGCCGGGCTGGCGACGCGCACCACTGGCTTGGTGCGAGGAGCAGGAACAGGCCCGGCCGGGCTGGCGACGCGCACCACTGGCTTGGTGCGAGGAGCAGGAACAGGCCGGGCCGGGCTGGCGACGCGCACCACTTCCTTGGTGCGAGGAGCAGGACTGGGTTCCTTTATTAACCCCCGCTCCTTCTGCTGCCTAACCAGCTCCTCTCGCCGTGCCTCTACTTTTTCCTTCTCCCTTTTAGCCTCCTGTAGCGCCTCCCTCTGACCGAATAACTCCTGCTCCCTCTGAGCCAACAGCCCCCGTAACATGGTGGCCTCCTCTCATAACCTGCAGATCCGCCCTTTCACGGCCTCCTGCTGCCTCGTCGTCCACACCGTGTGCCCCCCCAAATTTTTTCTTGGGGTTGCCTCTCGGGTCTCCGTTGTCGGCACTGTTGGTGCCGTTTCTCCTCTCCTACCCGGGCTTCCTTCTTCATCGCCTTCCGATAACGGACGGCCTCCTCCTCTGTAATTCTCCCCCAACCGAGGAGGACATCTACTAATGTTACCTCCTGTTGAGTCCCAGGCGTTTGCTCCTTCTCGGCACGCTGCTTGGTCCTTGTTTGGTGGGATCTTCTGTCACGTTCGTTGAATGACGGGTCAGACCAAGGCGCAGCGTGATATACGTACATGTTTATTCAACTTAATAAACACACGACAAAACAATAAACGAAACGAAACGTGAAGTCCTAAGGTAGACACACAACAAACCTTAACCGGAACAAGATCCCACAACTAGACAGTGCCAATAGGCTGCCTAAGTATGATCCCCAATCAGAGACAACGAGCGACAGCTGCCTCTGATTGGGAACCACACCGGCCAACATAGAACTATACATACTAGACAAGCCACATAGAAAAAGCACAACAAGGAATATACACACCCTGACTCAACATATAAGCGTCCCCTGAGTCAGGGCGTGAAACTGGTGGGGTACATGTGTGTGTCAGAGCTGTGTGTAAGTTGACCATGCAAACAATTAGGAATTTTCAACACATTAATGTTTCTTATAAAAAGAAGAAGTGATGCAGTCATTCTCTCCCCTACTTTTAGCCAAGAGAGACTAGCATAGTATTAATATTAGCCCTCTGATTACAGTGAAGAGCAAGACGTGCTGCTCTGTTCTGGGCCAGGTGCAGTTTTTCTAGGTCCTTCTTTGCAGCACTTGACCATATGACTGGGCAATAATCAAGATAAGATAAAACTAGAGCATGGCAGGACTTGCTTTGTGGAGTGTGGTGTCAAGAAAGCAGAGCAACTCTTTATCAAGGGCAGTCATTTACATTTTTAGTCATTTAGCAGACGCTCTTATCCAGAGCGACTTACAGTTAGTGAGTGCATACATTATTTTATTTTTCATACTGGCCCCCCGTGGGAATCGAACCCACAACCCTGGCGTTGCAAACGCCACGCTCTACCAACTGAGCTACATCCCTGCTGGCCATTCCCTCCCCTACCCTGGACGACGCTGGACGCTGGGCCAATTGTGCGCTGCCCCATGGGTCACCTCTCCTCATCTTTACAACCGTTGAATCAATTTGTTTTGACCATGACAGTTTACAATCCAAGGTAACACCCAACACCAATTAATTTAGTTTCCTCAACTTGCTCAACATCCACATTATTCATTATCAGATTCTGCTGTGGTCTAGAACAGGGAATGATTTGTACCAAATACAATGCTCTTAGTCTTAGAGATGTTCAGGACTAGTTGTTGACCATCGTTGCCCTTTCAGAAACTTGGTTGACTGAAGAGACAGCCATGCTTTATGACATGTCTCCTTATAATGCTGTTCACCACTGTGGAACATCAAGAGTGGGAGGAGGAGTGGCCATTTTTGTTCATAAACGTTTTTAATTATTTGTTAGATCTGACCTCGCACTTACATTTAAATAACATTGATTTTGAATCTGATTAATAATTAAGATAAAACATGTTTATAATCAAGCCGATGTGGAGTCTGCTTACCAGTATTTTCTCACATCTTTCAACCCTGTGTTTCACCACTGTGTTAAACCACATACGAGAGCAGCAGAAGGGTTCTGGAAACCTTGGTTTACAACCGGTCTCAAAACATCCTCAGTTTAAAAAAACGAGTTGTATAAAAAGGTTCTCACAAATCCCGCTTCCCTGAATTCTGCAAATTACAAAAAGTATATGAACAAATTTACTCACCTACTTCGGATATTATATTGGTCATGTAGTGTATTTTATAAAAATAATTATCAAGGGAGGCCAAATGCTTGCTGCCATCAATCAATCAAATACTACAGTGGCAACATGTCATACTCTTTTGTTCCAGACAGCATCAGATACATGGGCTACACATACTGAGACAGAGGGGCGCTGTTTTCCTCGCCCGGATGATATTTCTCCGGTGAGATTCAGCCACTTGCGAATTGACAGAAAATTATGAAAACACAGAGAGACGAAAGATAATGGTTTTTATGTATAGTTTTTTTTTTTTTGTCAAATATTTGGGGAAGCATGGCTTACCTTGGCATCCATGAATACACACCACTGCTAGTCAGGTTACAGAACAGTAGGCAAGCCTAAGACCCCTAGACTTACCGAGTTTGTATAATCGGTTCCGTAACAATATGTATTCATATATTTGAGGCTTTCCTCTCGTGGATCTTGTTGAGGACATCAACAGTGTCCTCCAGCAGGTATTCAAAGAGGCTGTCGACCATCCTCATCTTGATGGCCAACTCCTCCTGCTGCCAATTCTGCATCTGGAGCTGTTCTCCAGGCAGCTCCTGATGCTGAACGAGACCAACAGGATACATTAGTGTGTGTGCGTGTGTGTGTGTGTGCGTGTGTCAATTATGGACAATGACAACACACTTGTAAAAAGCTTACCAGAATGTGGTCCACCCTGTCCAGCTTCTTCCGCTTGAGGCTTGTTGTGAAGGTATGGCCAAACTTCTTGGTCAGGTCCACCTCTACCTTCTTGAGGCCATAAGCCTTTAAAACCTCATTTGTTATGAATGCCTATGACAGACACAAACAGCGTTAATACACAATAATGCATGCACGACCGCACACCCACAGACACACAATCACACACACACAGCGCAAGAGTTGACTCCACAAATCCTACTTTTGTCTCACCTGAACCTCTGCCACATTATCAAAGCTGAGTTTGCACTTGTAGGTGCAGTGTCTGACCTCAGGCTTCTCCCATGACAGCCTCTTAACTTCTCCTTCTGGGAAGATGTCCTTTAGGATGTCCCAGCTGAGGTCAAAAACAGCCTTTAGGAAAATTAGAGACATACAGTGCCTTCGGAAAGTATTCAGACCCCTTGACTTTTTCCACATTATGTTACATTACAGCCCTATTCTAAAATGGATTACATTCTTTTTTTATCCTCAGCAATCTAAACACAATACCCCATAATGACAAAGTTAAAACAGTTTTTTAGACATTTTAGTAAATGTATTAAACATAAAGAACAGATACCTTATTTACATAAGTATTCAGACCCTTTGCTATGAGACTCGAAATTGAGCTCAGGTGCATCCTGTTTCCATTGATCATCCGTGAGATGTTTCTACAACTTGATTGGAGTCCACCTGTGGTAAATTCAATTGATTGGACATGATTTGGAAAGGCACACACCTGTCTATATAAGGTCCCACAGTTGACAGTGCATGTCAGCGCAAAAACCTAGCCATGAGGTCGAAGGAATTGTCCGTAGAGCTCCGAGACAGGATTGTGTCGAGGTACCGATCTGGGCAAGGGTACCAAAAAATGTCTACAGCATTGAAGGTCCCCAAGAACACAGTGGCCTCCATCATTCTTAAATGGAAGAAGTTTGGAACCACCAAGACTCTTCCTAGAGCTGGCCGCCCGGCCAAACTGAGCAATCGGGGGAGAAGGGCCTTGGTCAGGGAGGTGACCAAGAACCCAATGGTCACTCTGACGGAGCTCCATAGTAAATCTCTGAAGCTGGAGACTCTTATCTCCCTCACTAACTTTAAGCATCAGTTGTCAGAGCACCTTACCGATCACTGCACCTGTACACAGCCCATCTGAAATTAGCCCACCCAACTACCTCATCCCCATATTGTTATTTATTTTGCTCATTTGCACCCCAGTATCTCTATTTGCACATTATCTCTTGCACATATATCAGTCCAGTGTTAATACTAAATTGTAATTATTTTGCACTATGGCCTATTTATTGCCTTACCTCCATAACTTGCTACATTTGCACACACTGTATATATATTTTCTGTTGTATTTTTTACTTTATGTTTTGTTTACCCCATATGTAACTCTGTGTTGTTGTTTTTTATCGCACTGCTTTGCTTTATCTTGGCCAGGTTGCAGTTGTAAATGAGAACTTGTTCTCAACTGGCTTACCTGGTTAAATAAAGGTGAAATAAAAAAATAAAAAATAGGTCCTCTGTGGAGATGGGAGAACCTTCCAGAAGGACAACCATCTCTGCAGCACTCCACCTATCAGGGCTTTATGGCAGATTGGTCAGACGGAAGTTAATTTGCACATGACAGCCCGCTTGGAGTTTGCCAAAAGCCACCTTAAGACTCTCAAACCATGAGAAACAAGATTCTCTGGTCTGATGAAACCAAGATTGAACTCTTTGGCCTGAATGCCAAGTGTCACATCTGGAGGAAACCTGGCACCATCCCTACGGTGAATCATGGTGGTGGCAGCATCATGCTGTGGGGATATTTTTCAGCGGCAAGGACTGGGGTACTAGTCAGGATCGAGGCAAAGGTGAACAGAGCAAAATACAGAGAGATCCTTGATGAAAACATACACCAGAGTGCTCAGGACCTCAGACTGGGGCAAAGGTTCACCTTCCAAAAGGACAACGACCTTTAGCACACAGCCAAGACAACGCAGGAGTGGCTTCGGGACAAGTCTCTGAATGTTCTTGAGTGGCCCAGCAAGAGCCCGGACTTGAACCCGATCTAACATCTCTGGAAAGACCTGAAAATAGCTGTGCAGCAACTCTCCCCATCCAACCTGAGAGCGCTTGAGAGGATCTACAGAGAAGAATGGGAGAAACTCCCCAAATACAGGTGTGCCAAGCTTGTAGCGTCGTACCCAATAAGACTCGATTCTGTAATCGCTGCCAAAGGTGCTTCAACAAAGTACTGAGTAAAGGGTCTGAATACTTATGTAAATTTGATATTTCAGTTTTTTATTTGTAATAAATTTGCCAAACTTTATTAAAACCTGTTTTTGCTTCGTGATTATGGGGTATTGTGTGTAGATTGATGAGGGAAAAAAACGATTTAATCGATTTTAGAATAAGGCTGTAACCTAACAAAATGGGGAAAAAGTCAAACGGTCTGAATACTTTCTGAAGGAGGGTCACTCAAAACCACACAAACAATGAGCAACCACTTAGAGAAATCCTGTAAAAAAGAACGGCGGGTCAGGAGGTTTTCGTCCCCTACTATTCCACCATGTTAACTAATTCACACTAATTGAGTGAAATAGCTGATTGTGTGAATCAATATGTGAATAGTGTGAATCTATTATTTTACACCAAGGCTTACCATCCTGTAGCTACGCTTGCTACGGGTCTCCAGATCATCTCCCTCTGCATATATCCCCAGAGGGATGCCTGGCTTGTCCTCGTCAGCCAGGATGCGTGGCCCCTGGGCCAGCTTGTTTTGGGTCCAAATGTGCCCAATGGCCAGGTGCACCAACCTGGTCACCACAGGCACTGTGTGGGGCACCACCATAAGGATCTTAGCCTTCTGTGGCTTAGGCTTGGGCTTGACTGGGTCTTTGGCAGGCTCTTTGTCACCTGATTTAGCCTGGGGCTGCTGGTTTCCACCTGCCTTGGCATGGGGCTGCTTCCTCTTTGCCCCACTGTGGCCCAAATCATTGTCGAACCACTCATCCCCGAGCTCATCCAGCAGCTCATCCAGCTCATCTCGAGGTTTGGTCTTTTTCACCTCTTTGGCTGGACCGATGACTTTGGCGACGGTGGTGCGGCTAGCCTGTGTCTGGACAGAGTGTGGAATAGAGAATAGTTATACTAGGAGACTGTACTGGAGACTTCAAAAAGAAACTTCTCAAGACATGGACAATACAAAAGCATCGAAAACATCAACCAATATATTGGGGTAACTCACCTGACTGTTGCTCTGCTCAGGAGGGTAGGGTGAGCACCTGCCAGTGCTGCTGGTGCTGCTGCTTCGGCCACTGCTGGAGCTGTGGCTGGAACTGGAGCTCGAGTTGCTCTCCTCAATTTCACTCTTCCCAAAGGACTCAAAATCCTCCTTATAGTCAGCCTCAGCCTAAAGGTGAAAGACACATTCAGCGACCCACAATAGGACATTACCTATAGCCAATGACTAGGTACTACATGTATATTCCAAATAAATAATAAAAGTTACTCCCTTACCTCTTCCTCTTTCTCCTCATCCGAGGACACCTTCTCCTCCTTCTCCTCAGTGCCAGAGCTGGAGTGGACCACATTGCCATCGGAGGCCTTGGGGGGTTCTTGTTCCCCCTGGGAGGCTTGGGTGATCCACACGGCCAGAACCTCCTTCTTCAGGCAGAGCACGGCTTCCTCCACGGCGTCCAGCTGGCGTTTCCATTCTAGCAGCTTCTCCGCCTGGCAGCGACGCTGACGGAGCACATGCTCACACCTTGTCAGGTACCTAGCAGATGAGACATATCAATTATTTCCCCCACAGATGAACATGTGAGATTACATAAATCCATATCTGATGACAAAGTGTGTAGTAGGGGTACAATTTAAACTAGATAGAAGGACATCAAAATGGAGTTACTTTGAAACCTTGTTGGCCACCTTACGACTCCTTCTTCCCCATGACTGAACCTCCTCCTATGGGGACCATATATTACAGTACATGTAGTTAGTTACTTATACAAAATCATGGTTATGCTACTAAGTACAGTACATACAAAATAATAATGGTGTTACTAAGTACATACAATAATGGTGTCACTAAGTACATACAATAATGGTGTTACTAAGTACATACAATAATGGTGTTACTAAGTACATACAATAATGGTGTTACTAAGTACATACAATAATGGTGTTACTAAGTACATACAATAATGGTGTTACTAGGTACATACAATAATGGTGTTACTAAGTACATACAATAATGGTGTTACTAAGTACATACAATAATGGTGTTACTAAGTACATTCAATAATGGTGTTACTAAGTACATACAATACTGGTGTTACAAAGTACATACAATAATGGTGTTACTAAGTACATAATACAATAATGGTGTTACTAAGTACATACAATAATGGTGTTACTAAGTACATAATACCGTAATGGTGTTACTAAGTACATATAAAATCATAGCGGTGTTACTAAAGTACCCTAAAACTTAAATTAAATGCTGTCTCAAATAGCTGTCTGTCCCTTTTAAAGCATAGGTAGCATAAACCTAACCACATATATATGGATTTGCATAAATATTTCAAAAGACCCAATGCAAAGTTACACCTCACTTTTCAAATTTTTAGTTATTACATAAAACCAATTCCGAAGAATGTCGTAAAATGTTTTCCCGGTCCTATTCCCTATAATGTAAACTCCAACAGAAAATAACTTCAACCGTATAACTTCAAATTAAACCCAATATTTTGCACTCATGACTACTGGTTTCAATTAAATTTTCAACCAATTTACAAGCAAATACTTGATGAATTTATTGTTACAAATCAACTTGCAAGGTTGCTAGCCAACTAGCCTGCTAATGTTAGCCCTATATGCCTGCTAACGCTATGTTAGCACGGAATGAGTAAACCAGTTGTTATCAACACCTAGCTTACAGCTAGCTACATTAAAGTAAACCAAAGTTTTGAGCAAAAGCTGTGTGCATTAAGTAAATACAGTAGATGCCTGGCTCCAATAAAAGCCTGTCTCTAAAAAGCGGCAGTTGGGTTCAGTGATTGAAGCAAATAAACGCCTGGCCAATAATGGAAGTTTTACAGTACATACAATACACAGTGAGTTTATTCTCAGGAAAAAAACAATACATAATGTCAGATCATGCCTATTACACATATGAGCCATTGGAGACAATAGACTGTAATTAATTAATCAGCACATTTACCGTGCCAGGGGTCTCCATTCTGAAATAGCCAGTCAAAGAAGCGACCACTCTGTTCAAAGATTGAGCATAGACTGACAAACTGCTAGTGACACTCTAAAACAGAATGCTGCCTTAATGATGTAATAATACAGTGCATGGTACATGTAATAAGGGACAGAACACGGAGGATGAAGTAATCAATTTGAACATTCTATAGAGCACTCAATGTGGTCAAATGTGTGATGTCGTAATGGAACATGTTTTCAAACCATGAAATAATTGAATTCACGTGTATTAAACTTGTTATTTTTAACTTTTTCATATAACTATAACTTAAAATCAAATATTCAGTTACTTTCCTTGCGACTCTTGCCAATTTTATTTCAAAGTAAAAGTTGATAACGCTGAAGATGAAACAAATTGAGCAGTCCCATCTCCATCTCTGACTGACATTGAGTGATTCGTTCTATACATTTAAGATTAGGCCACCATCTAGTGGAAAATGTATGATATACTGTAGTTATACTACACCATAGTTTCAAATAGCCTATGGCCCTTTCAACAATTGCATTGATATTTATAGTGTAATGTTCTTATTCAGTTCCTTAGGCCTACAGCAGTTTTGACTCATGTTATTATTGATAGGTTAAAAACTTCCACTCCAGAAGGATGTCCAAGCCATTCATTGTATGATGCTTTAACTGAAAAAAAGTATTTCGCAAATAAATTAAATCAGGTGTGACATCAGGCATTTTCAATGGTACATGGTTGACAGTAAACATGAATTAAGATGATCAATTAATATATGTTAGCAATATACTAGTTTCTATATAACATAGGCCTACTGTACTTGATCTAACACTGACTGATTATTGGGATGATTTCCATGCATAACCAACCCCTTTCCCTCCCTTCCTTCCCCAGGCAGCCTGTGTAGCCTACGTTAATCTCAGCTAGACTCCTTGGCTCCCAGCCTCTCTTCTGGATTTAGCTGCACAGCACTAATCATCATCACTCAAGGAAACCACGCGAATTCGTTTTTAATCATAATCTCAGACAATTTGAGGAATAAGAGGAGAATAAGACGAATTTTGTGTCATTTTGATAGCAGGTGCCCTGGTAACTGGTAGTATGGAGAAAGAGACGTCACTTCAAGGTAAATGTTGTTTTTACAGATGAATATTTTACAGATGAGTTAATTGGTGTTTTCCCGAACGATCCATTACTGTATTCCCTAGAGCCCATTGTAACGTGTTGTTTCTAGTCGTTCATTATGTGCTCTGATTATACTATAATGCGCTGAAATGGTTGTTGTCGTTAATATGCTGTGTTCATGAAAATATCCTATTATTCCACATATACCTGTTGGAAGCTCAGTTTTTATTATCTTTTATTTCATTGATTCGCGGGCGACCCATGTATGACACGCACAAATTAGGCGAAAGGGAGTATAACTTGGCAGATCTTGATGCAAACAATTCCGGTATGCATTAATTAAGTGTTGTGCAAGATAACAGCCATGGGAATATTAGCTAATTAAAAATGTCACAGAGAATCTCAATGGAGTGGTTAACTTGATAATGAAGATTGAAAAGCATGTGAACATTCTGATATTATATTATATATCAATGATTTTATTATTGGTTAGGCTGTCTTTTACTCATTCGCAGCTAAAAGCGGAATAACAGTACAAACAAAAAAGAAACAAGGAAATAACAGTTAGCTAGCTGAAGGAAAACATATATTTTATTCTAGCTACCCCATGCCCTTACAGTGTTTGCAAAGGAAGATGCTCATGGTTTATGCGGTCCTAATAAGTTTTTTTGTTATTGGATGTCATTGATGTATTGTTGGCTACTATGACATATTTCATATGGCAGAATTAAAAGTACTAGTAATGGTCAGCTCATCTATATCTTCAACCTAATTAAAGTCCAGACTGATATGATTTACATCATGTTGCTTATATGATATTAAGTACTATGAGGCCAAGGTCCAGTTTCAGTTATGCCAACACACAAATCACAATAGAATATAATACATCGGTCTTTCTCAGTGTACTGCCTGTCACTGGCTGTCCCTCTACTGTAGCCTAGGTTAGGGCAGAGGCAGCGCTGCAGTCATGTCTCCTGTGGCTGTACAGGTCTGAAGAGCTGCTGATGAGTGACTCACTCTCTCTCTTCGCTCTGTGCCTCAGCTCTCTCACACTCCAGAATGCTCCTTTCAGCTCCTGCTCAGTGGAAACGGCCTTGTCTCTTCTCTGTCTCAGACAGTGTCGCAGCTAACCGCTGTTCTGTTCTGCCATTGCCAACATACAGTGCTTTAATAGCCCCATAGAACAACAGCTTGAGGAAGCAGCCAGGTTTATCATGTGAGGTCCAATGGAGCAATGGGTTTGATAATGGTGTGATGAACCCCTGGCATTTACTTTATCATCCAATTATGTGCTCATATTCAGGGCATTTTAATATAGCGCATTGGGTAGATTTGTTCAGTAATCAAATTGCAATCAGGAAAGGTGAGGTTAGAGAGGATCGGGTCATTATTTTACTCAATATAAATACATGTTGTCCTATTGGTACTTTGTAACTAAGGCATTCAGTTTTCAGCACCCCCATTTTGGAGATGATTGTGTTTCCTGAAATAAAAGTGTAAAAAGAAAGCCATCTATCATTCTCCTTACATCCCTCTATAAGTGCTTGGTTCATTGGTATATATAAGTTATTAGTAGTTCACTTCACGCAAACAGCTGTTAAAGCTAAAAGAAAATGGCACCTCATCCAGGGAGGTTATTTTGCTTTTCTTTTCATCCATCTGTGTGAAATGGCAAGATACACCCAATTACTCAGCAGTCAAATATCAATAGAGCCGTACGCCTCCACAAGGATCAGACCCCTTTGATTTGGCAACATCATCACTAAAAGGAAAGGACCTACGGTCAGATAAAGGTGACTCTGGTGTGTTCCTACATCGGAGGAAAGGTTAAAACAGCGAAGCTCGAGGCAGGTGGACTTACTGTCTGAGAGAAACAAATCAGTTTTCTAAGACTGTAGTCTGCATAAAACAAGACTGAACAGTGGATTTTTCAGCTTGTTATTAGCTTCAGGTTATCAGATTGAGTTACAGAAAAAAAGTCTGTTTTCTAGGACTAGGCACAGACAAATATGACCAGTATACATATTTGCAGATCATCAGTAGCTGCAGTCAAATGACCAAATTGCCCTATAGTGGCCTCATGGGTGGAATGTTATTAATATTTTTCATAATTTAATCATTAATAAACATACAACAACAAAAAAACGCTGAAAATCCGGTGTTTCTATGTCAAACGTTTTTGTTATATTTCAGTCTTCTGTGATGTATATAAAGTCTAATATTGGGATACAAACTCAAAACGTTATACATTTCAACTCCATATCTGACATGGTACAGGTGTCTTCTTTGTTTTAAGACCATAACCATGTGTGTGAGGTGTAGACTTTTGTTTCAAAGTACATTTGTTTAAGACTACCAAGAAACACTCTGTGTGACCCTGATTTAGCCCACTGCAGTAAAAGGTTAGATGGAATCCGCAGTAGGGAGAAACAGCGCCACTGGCCGCCCCACCACCATTGTTATTGTTTTTGTTGCTGAGCTGAGCAGCATGGTAAAACAAATGTGCAGTACATATTGTGCTCTTCTATCGCACGTGCAATGATGTCAGAGGGGGGAAAACTGTGTTCGTTGTTTGCAGTAACTTCTATGCTGTTGTAATCACAAACGGACATGGCTGTTTCACCATTAACGATTTCAGAATTGTTTTAATCTATTCTCTCTCTCTATGTATCTTTCCCTAGCACTATGTTGATCCCAGCAGCCCTCCTATCCAGAGATGCTCACCAGCTCAGACAAATCTCTCTCTCTGATGGCCGACCACTGTGCCCCAGAGGGTTTGGCTTCCGGTCCCAAAGGCAGCACATCCAGTAGGGGGATGCACAGCATTCGCTCCTCCCTCTCTCTCCCTGAGCCCGAGGCATGGCGCCGGACCTCCAGCCCTGGCACCACCCGTCAAGGAGGCCTAGTCCAGGGGTCCCGCTCCTGCTCCTTGCAGGTTCCCCACTCCGGCCTGGAGACCCTGGATCTACCCCCGCGGGTGGCCAGCTTCGACGTCCCTTACAGGGTGGAAGAGGCAGGGTCGGACACAGGCTCAGGGTCTGTGAGCCCCTGTAGTATGCAGAGGAGACGTGGTGGCATCGTGGATCAGAGGGATGTGATCAGGGCCCACGAGTCGCACAAGATGCAGAGCACACCACAGGCCCGCAGGAAAGACTGGGAGTAAGTACACAAGATGGAGGGGGGAGGGGTTCTGTCTTCACAGCTCTGGCATGTGTCAAGATGAAAAGAAGCATAAATGTACAGAATGTATCCAGGAATAGAATGGATACAATCATTTATAAGAATGCACATAATAATCAGCCTTTGGTTGAGGTGTGGCAGATTCTCATGTTATGCTGTGATAACAAGACAGAATTACCAAAGTGGTCAATAGTCAATGGGCTCGCCTCACCTGGCTGCAAGTTCATTGGGCTGTACAGTGTCCCTTCAGACCGTACAGTGTCCTGTCTGACTGGCTGTACACATCTGTAGATTGAATCTGATGCTGTGTTACAATATTATTGGTGGTTGGGTTCTATCTACTGTATGCGTAGCTTGCTTGTGGAACTTTGAGCTCTGGAGCTCTGATTACCTCCTTAGCATCACTCAACTGTGGAGTGCCACTCCATCACGGTAACCCCACCCCCTCTCTCCCCCCTCCTCCCCCAGCACATCCTCTTTATCATACAGTACATACTGCACATACTGGTATTTACTGGGTTCTCTTGTTGTAATTCTCTCTTTGTCTCTGTCTCTCTAATGCTTTCTCTCTCTCTCTCTCTCTCTCTCTCTCTCTCTCTCTCTCTCTCTCTCTCTCTCTCTCTCTCTCTCTCTCTCTCTCTCTCTCTCTCTCTCTCTCTCATGCTTCCTCTCTCTTTCGATTTCTCTCTTATGCTTTCTCTCTCATTTTCTCTTTTCCGCTCTCTCTCTCTCACTCTGTCATACACACTTACGTAATTACTCTTTTGTATCCCTACTACACTCGCACACTCTCTCTCGCTTCGCATCTCCCCACCGCCCCCTCACTCATTCATCATATACAGCCAAACATAATTGGGAGAGTTGTTTATTTCTGGTTGCAACCCAATGTTCCAATGTGCAACATTCAACGCAACGGGTCGACTCTGTCAGTCTTGCACTATGGTATCTATCAGGTTTGGAATCATTTAAAAGATCAGTCTGGGAATCACTGGGAATTCACCTCAACAACAGTTTTTACTTGTCAAAATGATATTCACTTTGGGAACTCACACAGTTATTCCCACTCATTCCCCCTTAATCCCACCTCTAGTGTTTGTGCAGTAGAAAGTCCAGCAGAAAGGCCAGACAATAGGGTTTATCTTAGTGTAGTGTGCATATCTGACCATTAGAGGATGCCACAGAATCAAACAAAGTATACCGTGGAAAATCAAATAGATAGTGGCAATGATAATGGAAAGAAAAGTTCTTGTTCTTCCCAGCTGTACACAAAAGAGTTTGGGTATTTGCTAAATATGAATGGTTGCTACTGTAAATATTCACAATTAACATCCAAATAGCAGGAGAGATGATTAGGCTATACATGTAGTGTATGACTGTTTTCAGTCAACTTTGAAGTAATTCTAAGTATCTTACAAAAGGTAACAAATAACTTTTAATGAAATACGAGTGTGTGTCTATTAGAAATACGGTACAGGATAGGGATTACTGTAGGAGACATAAACAACGTTTTACCATTATCATAATGCAACTTTGATTGAGAGGGTGGGGTGTGGTGTACAGTTACGTTATTAATAATATGTCTGTTTATATAAGCTTCAGTTATTGGTAAGACCAGACCGACATAACTCAGGAATAGAGAGTGTCTGTTGCTAGGTAACGGAGATAAAGAAAAACTCTTAAAGCCACTCCAATCAGCGTTGGTCGGGGTGAAATCCTCAGTTGACAATTACATAAATGCTCTTCAGAGTTCTGCCAATAAGTACACCCATTAATGTTTTAACTCATGGTGCATGTCACCGGCATACATTTCTCCCCCTTTCAAAGGAATATGTTTCAAATGGGCTGTGCTTATTTATTAGAATTTCCTCCTCCTAAGTGTTGTAAAGAGATAAATACATCATGAGTTTTTCCGCCATGTCTAAAGACACAAGAGATGGCACCGGAAATGCTCTTTTCCTCTTTGTAGCTCCAATACAGAAAGTCTTTCTGAAACGCATAATAGTAGAGATGTAGTGCAGATTTGGACCCCACCTACTATATCCGGTTACCCCACCAGTACAGACTGTAGGTTATTCAGTTGTTCCTGATGATGTCATCATAGGAACAACCATGCTAACCCTTTTGATGCTTTGTATTATAAAGTGACATCTGAAGGCATGAGAATGATGATGATGATGATGATGAGCTGAACTAATGATGATTGCATGATTAAGCTATCAATACTGGGTAGTAATCAATTCCAATTGGACTCAATCTGGAAACAAACCATGTGTTTCTTTGTGCAACTTTGATGATTAGATATTGGAATATGATTGTTGTTGCATTCAACCGTAGATATCCTATTAAATTACTAGATGGGCTATTTCATAAACCTTCAAAGGTCCAGAATGGGCTGAAAATGGCAGCTATATTGGCCATGGATAAATCCAAACCAGTCTAATTGGAATGAATGGCAGTAGAGGCAGAATCCTGATTTTACTTATGCAGGACAATAAAAGTAAGACGTGATATATCAGACATTGTCTAATAGAATTATTGTCAACCTAAAATATTGTCATATAATTATAAATACAGTATATATGGTTTTATACACATTTTCTGTATAAATAGCCTCTAAAATATATGTAAACAGACCATAAATGTCTAAATGTTTGTTTTCTTGGAAAGCTGTGCTATTATATGATACAATATCAGTACTTGTTGCATTTACAACTTGTCTAATCTCTATCATCAACTGATTTCAGCCAGTGTATGGCTGTGGATTGACTGCATTGTTTGAATGGAATGTTGGTATATTGGCAGTTACTTACTTAAAACATTTATGGAATCATTCCTCTAAAACTGGCTGGCTAGCTAGCTAACACACATACAGTGCAGATACATTCTTCAAATTCATTACTTTACACAATATCTTATCACAGCACTGGCAAACCATGGTTCACCAACTCCCTGACCAAAATGGCTGACCTTTATCCAATCATAAGAAGGTTAATGTCCATTCTAGTGTTCTAATTCCTAATTCTATGCTTTCAACATATGAGCAGTGCTCATAGTCATTCATTTCACTTCTTTCACTGGAATGAAATATTGTTTGAAGGCGGTATTGGCCCCTCCGTTTATCTAGAGGGACTGAAACCTTGACATGGTGTACCAGAAGTTGAGTTGCCCTGGGGGAGAAACCGATTTCTGTAGGAAGTGGTTGCTCTATTGTGCAACATGGCTTTTGTTGGCTAAATGAAAAGAACAGAGCAGAAATTCAAGAGAGCTGTGTCGCTATGGAAACAACTGTTAAGAGAGAGAAAAATGAATTTAATGTTTATAGAAATTGACAAATGTAGAGATAGGACCACTTCATCCCAAATCCCCCCCCCCCCCCCATAGGGATAGAGGGAGGTAGGGATGGGGGGGGGGGGTTTGGGATGAAGTGGTCCTATCTCCACATCTCCCTCCATCCCCATTGGGAAGGGAAGAACAGCGGCAGATGGAATGAGAGAGCTCCATGTTGCCAAATTAGGTCTCCATCACACTCTGAGCGGGTGTGAAAGTCCCTGCTTTCTTCTCCTCTCTCTCCCACATAAAGGGGGGCAGTGCCTCAAGATCTATTTCATGATCTATTTTTATTTCAGACATGATATTCCAATATTAGCACAATGACCTGGATTGGTTAAATGTTTTTAATAGTAGCCTACAAGTCTGTCTTCATTAATGAACATACTGTATCTCAAAGCTCTCACTGTGTAGCCTAAAGCTAATATGTAACATTTAAGGTGGACACGTGGAAATCTGTTCATAACACCAGAGGAAACTTCAATTGGCCAATAAGTTATTATCAGACTTCTTTGTGTGATAAGGTTTACCTTTCGATTGGGGAGGCTTTCAGTAGTTTTCTTGGTTCCAATAAGTTCTCTTTGTCTCAAGTCTTTGTTTTAGTGTTATGGTGGTGGCTCTACAGAAACACAGTTTATGTTGATAGTGTGTTCACTAATGCAAGGACTGTGACCTAGTGGTACCAATGACACAGGTCATGTTTTGCAGACATTTTTGTTTAAATGCATTGCAGAGAAAGAGGCCTATTCGTGTGGGCAGATTGTCTGTCACCTTATTTTCTAGCTGTATTTTACTATAACATAATGCCAACACATAGGATCACTAATGTGTTCCTTTACTTTCAAAGGTGATTTTACCTCCACCCCTCTAACCCTACCCCCTTAGGAATTTTGGTTGTTGTTTTAAATTTAGAACTTACAACGCCAGGGTTGTGGGTTCGATTCCCACGGGGGGGCAGTATGAAAAAAATAATATATATACAGTGGGGAGAACAATTATTTGATACACTGCCGATTTTGCAGGTTTTCCTACTTACAAAGCAGGTAGAGGTCTGTAATTTTTATCATAGGTACACTTCAACTGCGAGAGACGGAATCTAAAACAAAAATCCAGAAAATCACATTGTATGATTTTTAAGTAATTAATTTGCATTTTATTGCATGACATAAGTATTTGATACATCAGAAAAGCAGAACTTAATATTTGGTACAGAAACCTTTGTTTGCAATTACAGAGATCATACGTTTCCTGTAGGTCTTGACCAGGTTTGCACACACTGCAGCAGGGATTTTGGCCCACTCCTCCATACAGACCTTCTCCAGATCCTTCAGGTTTCGGGGCTGTCGCTGGGCAATACGGACTTTCAGCTCCCTCACCTTCCACATGATCATTGATGCCCCACGAGGTGAGATCTTACATGGAGCCCCAGACCGAGGGTGATTGACCGTCATCTTGAACTTCTTCCATTTTCTAATAATTGCGCCAACAGTTGTTGCCTTCTCACCAAGCTGCTTGCCTATTGTCCTGTAGCCCATCCCAGCCTTGTGCAGGTCTACAATTTTATCCCTGATGTCCTTACACAGCTCTCTGGTCTTGGCCATTATGGAGAGGTTGGAGTCTGTTTGATTGAGTGTGTGGACAGGTGTCTTTTATACAGGTAACGAGTTCAAACAGGTGCAGTTAATACAGGTAATGAGTGGAGAACAGGAGGGCTTCTTAAAGAAAAACTAACAGGTCTGTGAGAGACGGAATTCTTACTGGTTGGTAGGTGATCAAATACTTATGTCATGCAATAAAATGCAAATGAATTACTTAAAAATCATACAATGTGATTTTCTGGATTTTTGTTTTAGATTCCGTCTCTCACAGTTGAAGTGTACCTATGATAAAAATTACAGACCTCTACATGCTTTGTAAGTAGGAAAACCTGCAAAATCGGCAGTGTATCAAATACTTGTTCTCCCCACTGTATATATGTTTTAAAAATAAAAAAGAATGTATGCACTCACTAACTGTAAGTCGCTCTGGATAAGAGCGTCTGCTAAATTACTCAAATGTAAATGTAAATATGTATTTTTGGAAAGTGACAATTTTGACAAAATGTCAGTGTTCATCCTTGAACACTGAAATATATATTGCCATGGAAACTGAAATATGTTTTTTCTATCTCATGACAATTCTCATTCAGATGTACAGTGTGTTGAAAATTGCCATAGGCTACTGAAAGACGTGGGAGGGGTTGCGCAAGTGTGCGGGAGCTCGCGCTCACTCTGTTTCATGGTCATTTGGAGGCAGGTAAACACATTGAAAGATAATCGTTCGCGGATCAAACCAGTATTCTAGCGCCAAATGTTTCTTT